GAAGAGATTGATCTCATCATCAATGGATCTAAGCCATTCATTCTTGTCTCAACTCCTCATAACTTTCTTATAGTCTCTAGGCTCTTCACCCAGAACCTTACTAGCAGAGATTAAGGTAAAAGTTATGATATCTGCATAACCAAGTCTCTGAGGTGGTTTGATGATTCTCCTGGTTCTGTCTCTAGCTAACAGATACTCATTATCATCCTCCTCATTTATTTCAACACCTTGTTCTTCTTGTTCTTCTTCGACTTCATATGTGTTTTTCATTTCAGCATCAACATGCTCCACCTTAACAGGAAACTCCTCATATTCTAGCTCTTATAAAAAAAATCTTCGTGCTTCAACCAATGTCGTCACTTTCTTGAAAGCCATCTCAACTTCATTGAAAACTACATCTCAACTTGTGATACACCTCTTGTAACGTGGCTCTAGGCACCACAATCTATAAGCTTTGACTCCTTCAGGGTATCCAAAAAACATCATCTCAGGGCTCTAGGTTCGACCTTGTCTTGCCTTATGTGAGCATATGCTACTCAGCCAAATACTCTAAGTTTGTCGAGGTTTGATGGATGACTTGACTAAACTTCTACAAGTGTCTTCATCCCCAAGACAGTTGAGGGACACTTTTTTTATCAGATAAGTTGCAATCATGACTTCGTTAGCCCAAAATATCTTCTTTAACCTTGCATTAACCAACATGCATCTCACTCTTTCAAGAATGGTTTGATTAAACCTTTTAGCCAAACCATTTTGTTGAAGAGTACCTGTAATAATTTTGTGATTTGCAATTCCAGACACAACACAATAGTTGTCAAAAGCTTCATTGTAAAATTCAAGACCATTTTCAATCCTCAACCTCTTAACTTTCCTGCCAGTTTGATTTTTGACCAGAGTCTTCAAACTTTTGAAATTTTCAAAAGTTTCATCCTTAGTTTTTTGAGTGAATACCCATAACTTTCGTGAGTAATCATCAACTATGGACATAAATTATCTTGCACTTAAGTGTGAATGATTTCTTGCATGCCCCTAAAGACCAGCATGGATATCATCAAAGGATCATTGTGTTTTTTGTTTACCTTTGTTGAACTTTACCCTACAGTATTTACCAAATACACAAGGTTCACAAAACTCCAGTTTTTTTACCTTGTCACCACCTAGCATATTTTGCTTTCCCAATTCGACTAGGCCCCTTTCACTGACATGGCCAAGTCTTATGTACTATAGCTCAGTCTTCAACATAGGTTTTATGGACGCCACATCGGCTGAACCACTTACAACCTCAACCTCAAGGATATACAAGTCTTTCCTCTTGATGTCTCTCAAGATTTCTTTCGACCCTTTCATTACTCTTAGGATACCTTACTCTCCTTTAAAGACATATCCCTTCTTATCAAATTCACCACGAGAAATAAAATTTCTCTTAAGATCAGGTACATACCTGACACCAGTCAACAACTTTATTGACTCATCATAGAGCTTGAATATTACAGATCTAATTCCTGCAATCTTATAGGCTTTGTTGTTTCCCAGCAGCGCTGATCCACCATTTTGATCACATAGTTCCTCAAACACATCTTTGTTTGGAGTCATGTGTCAAGTACAATGTGAATCCATAACCCATTCCTTGCTTGAATTGCTGCTAAAAACCACCAGAACATCAGATGATTCATAATCATCTTGAACAATGGTTGTGTTGCCATCCTTACCTCCATGGTTATTCAAACGTTCAGGGTAAATTTTTTTTGTGTGGTCATCCTTCTTACAGTGATAACACCTAATTGCAGAAGTATCACTGCCATACGACTTTTGTTGAACGTTAACCTTCTTCTTCTTAGACCTACCATCCTTCTTTGAGAATTTTCCTTTTATGGACAATCCTTCACCATTAGAAGATGATTTTTTTCTCATTTCTTTCATTCAAGTTCTATGAGTACAAGGCTGATTGAACTTCTTCAAAGGCCATAAACTCTCTTTCATACAAGAGAGTTTCTTTGAAATTAGCATGAGATCTTGGTAAAACACACAACAACAACAACAACAACAACAACAACGCTTGATCTTCATCATTGATCTTGACATCAATATTCTCCAGATCAAGAATCAACTTATTAAATATATCTAGTTGTTCAGTCAAGACTTCACTCATCTTGAATGAATACTTAGCTTGCTTTAAGTAGAGACGATTGACCAAAGATTTGGTTATGTACAAACCTTCGAGTTTGTTCGACACCCTAACAACCATTTTCTCCTTCGAGACTTGCCGAAGAATCTTATCACCAATGCTCAATATGATGGTATTGTGGGTTTTCTCAATCATTGTCGTCTTCTCCTTCGTCGTTAGGGCAACATCCATTTTTCTGATCCTTTCAACGCCTTTAACACACCCTACTGTACAAGAAGAACTTGCATCTTCAAGTGCTACAATATGAAATTATTCACCCCTGGTGAATTTATGAATCTCATATTTTGTTGACGACATCTTCTCTTTCACGCTCACCCCAACAAATTTGTTGTGAAATCGATGCCACGAAATCAGAGTATAATCATTTTCTTTAACAACAACAAAAACCACAAAGTAAGAAAGAGAGAAGAGAGAAAATGAAGACCATTCAAAGTGGTATAAAACTCTGAATTCTTGAATCAGTTACACATTAGAGAACAATGTTTACAATTGAATCTCAACCACACCACTTTCTCCTAGTATGATATTTATAAAAAAAAAAAAAAACTAAAACTCTAACTTTCAACTAACATACTAAACAAATATACTAAAAAAATTAGTCCATTTCAACATGCTAACTACCTAGCATATTGCGACAGCTAAACTAACTCTTCGATTTTGACAAAATTTAATTTAACACTAACTTATATCTCATAAACTATATATATTTTATCAAATAATATTATCTTATCCTTAAATCCAGTGTTAAAATGCGATTATTTCACAAGCTTTCAATAGCGACTATAATTCTTATTATGCTTCTGAAAACCAAAATCTAGGAAATCATATTAGATTATGTTTGGTTATCTATCACTATCACCGTGAAAAAATCGAATTTGAAATCATCGTCCTTCCATCTATTTTGTGATATATAGTACTCATCCTATAGAAATAATTCATTCTTAAGAATGACATTTCATTGGATATATATGTACAATACCGACATACTACACTGTTTGTCCGGCTATGAAGCTCATGCATCTCTTTAATCTCTGTTACACGACTCATATGAATGAAATATGATAATAAGTAGTTATATATAATGTGTTTGATTAAACCAAAATCCACGTGACAAAGCATGTATAGAAGGATAATTCTTCACGGTTTATGTTTCCCTTATCACCATAATAATCATGTATCCTTATCACTAGTTTCTGGCACTTATCAACTTGTAGCTCCAGTGGGTCTTACAAGTACATTTTTGTTGTTGTCATAATTCATTGTATACAAATGACCCCATTTTGTCATCTTTCATACCCTCAATAAAACACATTTTTTCAATCACAACCAATGGGGACCCCTCTCTTTTGTTTCACATGAAATAAATTTAGATTAGAAGAGACATGTCTCATGTATATGCAGAGCAGTCTTCGAACCTGTAAAGTAGACTATTGCACATACTCAAAGTTTAAGATAGTTTGTATATAAGTTTATGGAATAAAATTTATGTATAATTTATCAAATACAGAATTTTACATTAAAATCTAAATGACCGACGGTGTGAACCATGAACAAAAAATCTAAGAAACTGAGCCAACTACAATATATGTCATCTACAACCGCTTGTAATTAGAAATAGTAAACGGGTATACCCACTACGTTTAGACCTACTTTGCAAATGCTTGCGAAAAAACAGAACGTAGTGAAAGAAATATATTTAAAAGTGCAGACTTAAAACGCTGTCCCACTCCACATAAAAATGTAGGCGGAGCGGGACGGACCTGTGAATTAAATCTTTTTGGCTTAAAAATTATAAAACTATATGTAGAATTCTGTGCCCGCAAAGAAACGGTACGGACACACTAAAAAGTATAGGCCTAAAACATTGACCCGCTTGAAAAATGGACATGCACGACGGACCCGGTCCTTTTGGCCATCCCTAATTGCAATGGACTTATGCCGCATAATTTCCTTTTGCAATACATATCCTTGTCAGCTATGCCTCGTCAGACACATAAATTGTGTGGCTGTACATTTGAGGCTTTATTTGATGGGTCTCACACAATCTCCACCAAAAAAATGTGCTTAGAAAACAACAAACTTGAAAATAGACTATATGAGATTGACATGTTAACATAAATCATATCAACAAAATTCCACATTTTAATTCTGTAAATTTCAGCTAAACATTAGTTTAAAGGCTAGTTTGGCCTTATTAGCCATAGCTTTTGATTCTTCCATAAACAAGAGTTATCAGACAACCTCCTGATAGAGAATACTTACCACTGCATTTTATTAGGCCACTCCATTCCGCATTTGATAGTTTAGTACTCAGGCGATGAGTCTCAATTGTTTGATGAAGATCAGATGGTCGTATTATCAATTATAAGTTCATTGCATCGTAAAACGAGTTATCTGATCTTTCATCAAACAATAAACATTGTGTCCAAACTAAACAGTCTGGGCACCAAACCAAACTAAACATTGTGTCCAAATAAATTTCATAAACTTAATTCGGTCCAACCATATGAAAACTAAAATTCAATTGCTAGTATCAAAATGAAATTACAACCAAGTGATTGAAGTCCAGGAAGGAAAACTCCTTTCAACCATCATCCATTCAATCACCAATGCCAAAAGAAATAAAACATAAACGATAAACCATAATCTTCAAAACAAAACAACCTGAACTAAAAACATAAAAACAGCATAACACAAGACACAGCTATTTCTAACTAAACCCTGATCCACCAACCATGCTTCTTACAGTCCAATGTCTATCCTTATTCTTACCATTATAATAACAATAGTACCCGATGAATATCAATGAATTGAATCACTCTGTGTGTGTCTCTGTCGTCCTCGGCGGAGTTGTTTCCATGGTTGGGAAGCAACTACTAGATCTACCAAGAGGTCTACAGGCAAAATTTTCCTTCTTCCTAGGAGAATCCAAAGTCCTAAAGAAAATCTGTTTCACAGCATCTATGAAATCTTTCTTATGATCAGTGGCAGAAGACCTAAACTGTTGGCGAAATTTGGTGTGTCGCTTTAGAGCTTCATCCATTGTGATTAGCTTCTCCTCACTCTTTGATCTTGCTCTTTCTTCCTTCACTGCCTCGGAACACAAACCACATATCCATCTTCCACCGAATCTCTCCCTCACGCGCATAATATATGCGAGTGTACACTCTTCCACCAGTCCACAGCAGCAACATTTTGCAGTGGAAACCGCATCCACCTCCGCCACTTCAGTTTCTTTCACAACCTTCCCAATTTCCGCCACTTCAGCTTCTTTCATAACCTTCCCATCCATGTCCAAGCCTTCTATGATTCTTCTGTGTTCAATCACAAACAACACATTAACATGAAAATTTAAAACCAAAATAATAATGTAGATTTATAATTAAAGAAACACAGACACCAGACATATAGACAGTGAGTTGACACTAACACCAATAATAATTTCAAAAATAAAATAAATTGAACCTAACAAAATGTATCTGTGTCACTTACACGGGATCAAACACCAGATACGTCTTTATTCAAAGATGTCGGTGCTATATAAATTATAATTAACACAAACCACAAACACAAGATCAATGGTTATAACTACTTATGTTTCAAAGATCATATATTCTTTGAAAATAAAACAATCACTATTTAGACGGCCATGTCATCAAATGACTTTGATTTTTTGTGCATATTTATCATAATTTTAAATTGTGGTCTTCAAGAACATAGTAATCTCGCAACTCGCAAGTGCAATTTAAAACCAAACTATAATAACTACTATTGTGTCTGTGTCGGGTCCTATGTGACATGTGTCGGTGTCGTCTCAATATCAGTGCAACTGAATTTGACTGTGATTCTATGTAATATTAATGCAAAATTTAAAATCTTAAATCAATGTAAGAAGCAAAAGTGATTATGTAATACCGTGAATTACTATGCAATTGGATTTGAGAAAAAGCTAGGTTTACCGCTCTTTCTCCCACTGGATCTCTTGAACTTGAATCTCTTCTGTCTCGGAAATTGCTAGTGATTTGAATGGCGTATAGAACATTACAGAGCCGAAAATGGCTCAATTTTCTATTAAGCTATTTGATACGAGGGAATGGATTGTCGTATTGAATGATGTATCTGAAGTGAAGAAGAGAATGAAATGAATGTGGAGCAGAGACAGAGGCAGATAGAAAGAGATATATACAAGAGAGAAAAAGAGATATAGATGCGGATCTTTATTGTTATGTTTTTTTTTAATAATAAACAAAGGGAATATAAAGTTTTCATATACTTTTATTCTTTAGAAAATTTATGAATTTAGATTTAAAGTAAAAAAAGTTGTAAAAAATAAGATTTTGTTTTCGAAAATTAATTAATTTTGTTGACCGTTTAATGCATTAAGAAAATAAATAAATGAAAAAAGTTATACTTTTATGAAACTCTCTTTAATATGTATTAATATATGACCTTAAATATAATTAAAAAAACATTGAATTGAGAGTGATGTAAATATATTATGGGCGGATTGTTGTGGGTTATCCGGTTCTAATTAAATTATTTTTTATAAAAAGTAAAATAAAATAAAAACTCTGATAATATTTATTAAAAATAAAATCTAAATTAACCTGTTTTAAATTATATATATATATATATATATATATATATATATATATATATATATATATATATATATATATATATATATATATATATATATATATATATATATATATATATATATATATATATATATATATATATATATATATATATATATAATAATAATAAAATTATTTAATAAGTGAAAATGTTAAAATTGAAATATTTTAAAAAGTGTAAGAGTAAAAGAATAATGGTAGGAGTATAAAGTAATTTTTTTTATTTTTAACCAAATTTAGCGGCCCATTCATACGATCTAATTCATTTTAATAACTTTAATTATTAGAGGTGTTCAAATTTAAAACGATTCAAATAAAAACCACAATCCGTTTTCATGTATTTTAATTTCATTTTCTATGAACCATTCACATTTGATCGAATTTTAGATTACTTTTTCAAAATCAAATTAATCATTTACATATATTTTAATAATTTTTAATCTTTTAATTACTAATATATACTCTCTTTAATTCTTAATTTAAGAAAAAATTTATATTTTAGATTCATTGAATAATCAATGTATTTGATTTATATAATGAATCAGATACATTGATTGTTTAATGAATCTAAAATAATAAAATTTTCTTATATTAAATATGAAAGGGAGTATCACATTAATCTATTATTAGTTAATTTTTAATTTTTAAATACTACTTATTAGTTAAATTTTATATATTTTCTTTAGTTCTATTTATAAGTAAAAGTTTATTTTTTAAATATATTAAATAACTAATGTATCTTAACAATATGAAGACCAGATCTATTATCTATAAAATGAATCTAAAAAGTAAATTTTCTATTATGAGTGTGATCATAGGGAGTAATTTATTTACTCATTTATATGTTTTCCTAAAATCCATGTGGCGTAGTTAAATTTGACGACCCCCTTTGCAATGTTCTTTGACCCAATAGACGTGTTACAAACAATTGCGCATAACCAAGATATCATGCGGCGTATTCAGGAAAGGGGTGCCCTACCCGAAAGAGTGGTCAAACCAATAAAAGGGCGTCTTGGGAAGAACTATGAGTTAAGCGTGTGTCTCCCCCCTCCCCTACCACCACGGTATCATCCAATTACACCACTACGTAGTCCTTCAACTAAAAGGGCTCGTAAAGGACAAAGTGTTTTAACCCGTAACCTATCTTTGGACCTTCCACTAAAGCTTAGTCGATGCTTTATACTTACCTTCAGTTCTTGAAGCTTCAAATGAACTTTCTAAATGAGGTTTAGTTGATTCTTCCTAACGAGACTTAGTTGATTCCCTCATGCAAGACTTAGTTGATTCCCTCAGGAGAGACTTAGTTGAGTCTCTCGGGCGAAACTTAGTTGAGTATGTTAGGCGAGATTTAGTTGAATATCCTTTGAGGTTTGGAAAGATCTTCATATTTGCTCATAGGCGGCTATGATTTTTCTATGGAAATCAAGTAGTTTAATTACCTCATAGGGCGGCAAGGATCTTCGTGCGGAAGTCCAAAAGTTTAATTACCATGTAAATCGACAAGGATCTTCTTGTAGAAGTCCAACAAGTTAAGTACCCCATAGGTAGCAAGGATCCTCATATGGAAATCCAACAATTTAATTACCCCATAGTACGGCAAAGATCTTCCAGTGGAAGTCCTACAATTTAATTACACCGTAGAGCGGTAAGGAACTTCTTGTGGAAGTCCAATAATTTAATTACTTTGTAAGGTAACAAGGATCTTCCTATAGAAGTCTAGAAATTTAATTACCCTGTAAGGCAACAAGGATCATCCTGTGAAAGTATAACAATTTAATTACCTTAAAGAGTGTCAAGGATCTTCCTGTGGAAGTCCAAAATTTTAATTATCCTGTAGGACAACAAGGATCTTCTTGTGGAAGTCTAGCAATTTAATTAGACTGTCAAACCATAATAACTTGATGCAACCATCAGAATATTTTACAAGAGTTTTTCGTAAATAGGAGACTCTCCCTCCTACAAATCAATTATAATAATATCTTATATTGAATGAGTTCCATGTTCTTCAGTTCATTTATTCAGCTCTTCGAGCTTGTAGACTCCATTAGGAAGCTTATGATATATACTCTACGATCCTTCCTAGTTATGTTGTAGCTTTTGTGAGGGCAAGATGTCTTAGTCCTTATTTTAATGATGTCAAAACGTGTCTAATTCGTACTTTGTAATTTGGACTCTACATTCATAGTTTTCTAATGCATAAAAGTATTTCAACATGTGTCTATTCATATAGAAGAGCATCATATATGTTTTGTGTGTATTTGATCATGTTAGTAGACTCATATATGCATAAGTATTGCTTAGGTAGACCAAACTATGTGCAAAAAGTCATTTTTAGAAGTTTAGGGTGCTTGAGTCGACTTAAAGCCCTGCTTAGGTCGTTCATGTAATGTGTGAATTTCAAGCTCTTGCACTCAGGTGTGCTCGCGTCGATCCTCTGGTCAACTCATAATGTTAGTACACGCATATGTCATTTTTGGGCAAGCTTGAGTCGATGCATAGACCTATTCTGGTTGATTCACAACTTTAATTTTTGCATAATTCTGCAATCAGATGTGCTCAGGTCGACCCCCCCCCCCCCCCCTTTTTTCTTAGGTCGATTGTTCGCTAGAAGTGCACTATTTTTCTGATCTATCTCATTTTCATATTGCTGTCATGTTTGCTAATTGGTCTTAGCATCATATATATTCTTTTTGGCTCATCATTTGAAAACACAACAAGAAAAGTAAAATATTGACACTAAATTTTTCTCATTATCTTCATCCTCTGTCTTGCATTTTCTCAACAACTACACAAAACAACTTTTGTTGATCATTTGCATCATTGAGGTGATAACGTCCAAACATGGGATATTGTATCGAGTTTGGGTTGATATTTCGGTGGGTTTTTCTTGAATAAAACCGTTAGGGTTTTGTCCTCCAAGAATCTTGAGGATTTGGGGGTTTTTGCACAGATCATTTCTTCACAGATTCAGTCGAGTTAAGGTGATTGAAGAACGGGTGGTTCATTCAATCTAGTAGCGATAACCAGAGGATAAGAAAGATTTGGGTTTTAATTGTGTTTGATGAAAATCAACCAAGCTAAAGATTTGAAGATTGTGGGGACCAAGTGTTCTACGAATTGATCGCACACAAACTATTTGTGCTTTTATCAAATTGAGTTTAATTTTTACAAGCCATTCGAAATTTCACAAACTTAAGTGATTCTAATTGTATTGATTAGCTTTCAAAATATTGATTCGTTTTCTCATTGGATTCGATATTCCATCTTGGCTTATTGCATATCTGATCTTTTTAGTAACGGTTCGTTTAGACGACCTAGTTCCTCGGCTGCTTCCGCATAAATTTTAAAAACCAAATTTCTTTTAAGTGCCGACTCTGTTTATAAATTAGTGATCTATTCAACCCCCCTTCTAGATCATTGTCATTGTCTAACAACTTTCCCTATTCAGTGAGCACTACGACTTGTATTAGCACTAAATCTCCTTCATAAATCTCTCTTCGGTCCATAATGGAGTTATATCTTCTAGATGCTCTTTGTTTAGTGACGAAATTTTAAATATGGGTGATATCTCTCGTCTCGTCAATTATTTCAATGACATATTTTAACCCTGCTTCATTTTCTTCCTCGTTGAACTGGGGGCCTCACCATGACG